TACTACAGAAGTAATTCTGAAAGCCATTATCAGTCTTGTGCACCCTTAAATGAACCGACTTGAAAAATTTCGGAAGATCCTGAATAAAAGATGTGTGTAATCCCAAACCTTGGTTCCATTCCGTCTGCAACGGATATTAGGAAAAAACAAGAGCAAACATTAGTGTAAAGTGCTGCTGAACATCAGTAACTACCTACCCAGGTAGCACGTCGTTGGCTAATAGCGCGCTTTTAGCCGCTTATAGCTACAAATGAGCTACAGCACCAAACATGTAGCGCATTTATAGCCCATTAGTCGGCTAATAGAGCACTATGAGCCAGCTACAATGAGCTACATTTTTGAATATTCTGTTTTATAATTTCCTTCTTTTCTGTTATCTAATCCCTTATAAACCCTGTATTTTCTCGTGGTATTACTATCTGGCAATGGGCTTAAGCACATGTTTTGAAATGATTACAACGCACTTTATTGAACAAATGAATAAATCCCTTTTATCTTCCCGCACCCCTGGACTATCATGTTAATCCTAATTAGACGGTACCTTCAAACTAGCTTCTACTGTATCCGAGGCTTTCAGGCAGATAATAGGACGTATTATAGAAGATCATTTATTTGCTGATATATATTAAGATATATATATATACGTATTATAAGAGCAAACAGTATATAACATTTACTGTGTAGCACTTTTCTTTCGCAGTTTCTTGTGGTAATTCTGTCCGCCATTTTTTGACCCACCTGTGTATTTCGCGTTTAACACAATCCATTGAAACGTCGGTGTTCGTCCGAATAGCATATAATGAAGTAATGCATATCCTATTATAATTACTTACCGATAACACCTTTGCTGAAAACGAAGTGGAAGCTGTTTTCCCGTGTTTTTCAGTCTAATTCATCAGCACAACTATCGAATCATGCAGTACCGTAGACACGGTACGTTTCATTGTGTATCACGTATTTCTCATCCGTTTGCGTCAACTGTTTCACCCAAGCACTCAATATATCACATAACTTGAATCTAGAAATTTGTCATATGTACTGTCATCTGACAAATTTCGTTCCAATCCTTCCAGTTGCTCTATGTTTGATTCACATTAAAGGAAATGAGCTATACTGTGGTAATCTGTATTTGGTATCAAGGACTGAACCGCAATAATCCGCGCAATTAAGCTCCAACCGAACTAGTACGCAGTATGGAATAGAACTCCAGAATATTCGAAGTCAGATTTTGTATTACGCGCCGAAATTTGTACAAAGCAATCGATCATGTAATGAAACAAGAATGTTCGGTTTATACGCAATCACCACGTATACTTATAAAAAATTATTGTAAATGGAACACATGTTTTACAATTAATTTACCTATTGGTCTTTGACACCTTATTCTGTAATCACAAAGGCCTGCCTCTCCACAACAAGAACACTCAAATTGTGGCATCCGTTGTTGTGATAAACTGTCCAGCGAGATATTGATGATATTTCAAGTCTTCAATTGCTGTTGTAAGATTACGGAAATAATCGTCGGAAAAAAACTTGATAATACAACCAAAAGCAATAGCAACGAAATAAATGTATCACAAAATTTAACTTACTATCAGATGGATGTTAAGTAATAAGGACGTCTGCACAGCATCAGCTGACGACAACCCAGCAAAAGATAAGAGTCATTCAAACTATCATTTCCCGCCGTAAATTAAAAAAGAGCAGGGAGATTTGACTCCAAAAATAAGAGCAGTTTGGTTGATTTAAGAATGAAAACCAGTGTGCAAACCAAAAAGTATTATGCAACATTTCAAAGGTAAATTACTGTTTATTAACAAATGTAGCTGATGTAGCTCATAAGTTGCTCTTTGTAGTGGATCGATGCACTACGTTGTACTACCTGGGTATCCACTAGAGACTCATCACGGATGAAGTGACAGTTTACATACAGAAGACCTGCTATGAATTTGCCTACTTGACATATCTGAAGAAACGTCGACTACGACCGGCCGTGAGGCGCTTCAGTACGCGAGTCGGGCTGAAGCTATGATGCGTCTACGTATTCTATCGATCGGGCTTATAACGACGTTTCCCAAGGCGAGAACGAATTGAGAAGAAAGTCTGGTACGAGTGTGACTTGCAGAAGAAATTGTACAGCGAGCAAAGCACATAACACAACTCACCGGAAAAAGTGTCAGAGTCGAGGTCATACGAGTTCTCGAAAAGCGGACAATTAAAAAAATGGGGTCGTTACACGAATCGGGGGAATGGCGTTGGAAAGGGAAAATAATGTCACTACAACCCTGAGCTCGCAAAACAATTAAGTTACTGATGGTTGAATCAAAAGACTTGTCAATGTTGTAAACGTTAAGTGAGGTACTGTGTCACAGAGAAAGTACCGGTACCGGCTAACGGGCGTTTGCGTCAAAGCACGAAGGCACGACAACTAACGAGCGCGATAAAGAGCAAAACGGAGCGAAAGCGAAAAGTGAAAGTTCTGTTCGTGGAAGGATGCAGCAGTTTTCGATCGTATAAAACAAAAGTTACATGGCGTTGGTACTGAAGTGAAAATGTGTGCATTCATTTAGATTGTAGAGGAAAATGATGTCTGGCGAAAGTCTGATTTGGTCCGGTTTTCACCATACCATCGAGCACACTACACATCTGTGGCACCGTGTTGTAGTTCGTACTCGCACTAGTATTTCGTATACGTATCGGATTCCGCGCACTAATAGTCCCACCAGGAACTAGGACTCGAAACGAAATCAGAAGCGAACTCAGAGGCGGAATGGAATTGTATAGGCGGAAATTACGAATATACAAGGATATCGTGTTCAATAAAACAAAAGAGTTCATAGTTCATGAGCAATCACCACACACCGCCGCAACATCTGGTATTCCTTGAAGAGTCGAGAGTATGCTGCGGCATTTCGTTGAGTTATTTACACAACTCAGAAATTTGGCCATTAAGAAAAAAATATAAAGATAGACGATCCGAGCTCAAACACAGGTGTGTACGCAGCATTGCCTGAATCTGGTCTAGAAACCGGAAGAGTAATGCCGAATTTACGCACATTGTTTTCGGTAATTGTGGTAGCCTACTGAAGCATGGGACCGATCTCCATATGTTGTTACTTGGGGCGTGTGTTGCGCTTGCCGCCACATTGATTGACACAGTGCACGATTTTCGCCGAGGCAGGTACTGGGTGGAAAGAACTCAAGGGTGGTTAAAATAAGACCTGGTATGAGGGTATCAAAACCCTAACCGGGAGCCTCGCTCATATAGCTCGAGTTTGGCTTCCAGGATGGAGACCACGGGATCATTGTAATTTAGAGGCATTGTGTGATATGGCTGAGTGTTGAAAACAGTGGCGCTCGTGCTTCTCATTTTCTTTGCAAGTTTAGTCTACCGAAATTCTCCATTTTCTCTTCGACTCTATTTTCAAATTTTCTGTATTCCTCTTACTCCTACATCCAAATGGGCAACGAAAAGACAGCAACCGAAACCGCCGCATGAAGTTGCATTATTGATGGCTGTACACACAGAAACTTAACACTGTTCGGATAATCATTTTTGAACTTCCAGGACCACATCTCCTGGGCCGGGCGAATACAATTCCTCTCGGACAAGATCTTGGCAGTTTTCGGCTATCCCGGAATTTAGTCATTCCGTCAGCCTTGTTGCTTCATTAGATTGGCGTTCGCTTCTTGCTTCTTATCCCAGGTCGTGCTAAGTTATTACAACTCTTAGCCAATCTTCTCAAGAACGATCCAAATGTCTCGATTTTTCAATATCAGTATACAATAAAGGCGCTGAAGATCAGTTTCACTATCTGTGGTTTATTTTCGGCTTGCACATAAATGTCAGATAGACATCTCTCATAAAAGGGCTGAATCATTTACACCAATTGTTTATCAACTTAGCCCAGTCTAGTTTCACCATTTGGTTCCTCTATATGGTGCTTAAAAGCGGATACTGTCGAGGGATGAACGGTGGCGAAAATTGCTACTTTAGTGTTTATGGAATCTCCTTAAATCTGGTTTTGTCACTTTTCAAGAGTATGCACTCTGTTTCCCGGAGGTGCTCGGGTAGTCCAATTTTACAAAGTAAGGTGTTGATGTTTGTTTTTTGGTCACATTGTGTTTCTACCTTTTCATTACGAGTCCTTTATTACTCAGAGGACGCCGTGATGTTTTACCATGTGCAACTAACCTGGTTACGCTCGAACATCGGTTTTCACTTGCCCCGTTCAGTCTCATCGCACCGCACGTGTAAACCCTTTCCAGCAGATCGCGCTCCACAGAATCTTGGTCACCCGTATTCGTCTTCTTGCTCGATGAGATCAATATTCTTATTGCTATTCATCGTATTAAGAGGCGAAGTAACTTGCATTTAGTTCTCATAGACAACACGTGCTATCTAAAGTTTGTCATAATGATAGGTGTTACATTAGGGGCATTGGGCACGTCACCGCCATTTCTGATTGAGAGTGAGTAGTCTGCATGTATCACTGGACCCCTTGGTTTAAAGTTATTTGTATTTTTCCTGTCCTACAGATTACTTGGAATATCACCATTACCGCTAAGAACCTGCTATTTAAATTGCTTCTTACCTGTGCATTGAGCGTGTCTGTGGTTAGCCGCGTTTACAAACGTTCATTCGGCACGCGAAAGAGCATTGCTTTGTGAAAATTTTTGATGGCCTTATTTATACTTCGATCGTTGTACTCGGAGTCATCCACCCGGTGTGCATTATGAATTGGTGGCGGCAATTGGCCAACTCCTGTATGCTACACGAAGCCCTGTCAACAATGAATGTACCGCTAACATTTAAAGAGATANTACCACACACACATCCCTGCTACTTGATGTGAACATTTCGACAAGTCTGAATGTCAGCATGTCCATGGGTCCCCACTGGTTTGCAGCATTTGTCACCGGGGGTGACCAAATTCACTGTGGCTTCGATAATATGTATGACATTTGCGAAAAGCTATATACAGTTCAGGTACGATTACTCAACCCCGAATGACTTGACAACGTTGAACGTTAATGATGTAATTTTTCCTGGAAAAGTGGAGAGAGCGAAGCAAAACTCACTGAGCAGCCAAAATCTGCAATCACTTACAGAGAGCGTACGTGTGAGACAAGTGAGCCGTTGACAGCAACAACTCTTCAATTTGGTTCACTACAACTAGGGGGCTACTGCGAGTCTATTGTACAAATATTATTACGGGAAGACAAAGCAAAATTGCCGATCTTAGACAATGTTTGATTATTTTATTTCTGCACAATAAAAATAGATTGTTTACACTCATGAAATAACCTCAATTTACAGCCAACACAAAATTTAAAATTGATTATCCGCTGCTGTTTTTCTGCTGTTCCAACCTTTTGATCCACCTGCAAGCTGCGATGAATAATGTACAGTCATTTCGGTTACGTTAAACACCCTCTTGATCAAGCCCAATATTATCGTTTCAGTCAGTGATTGAAGCCATCGAGGTGTATATCCGTCCCGCGTGGATCGGCAGATTGTGATAACCGCCGGCTTTTGTGGCAGTGCGAGCATCACCTGAGTTATGTTCGTTGCTAGGAGGAACAGCTCATCAAAACTTGGAATGTGTTCTTCGACAAGTGAACTTCCGGGTAGGTTGTGACCAACACACAATCTCATACGAGGCTCGTAGAGATGTGTGGACCAAGCCATAGTGAAACAGAGACCTATCTTTCCCAAAACATAAAGCTGCTCCGGAGTCAAACCGGAGTTTGCGAAAAGTCGAGTCACTCTGTATGAAATTTCGTTCACGTCTGTTTCACACAACCACACGCTAGCGTGCGTCCTCAAATCGCGAAGAATTAACTGATGTAATTTGTCAGCGCAATTGTCTACGCGATATTCATCGGTTGGATACTGGAAGCACCAATGTCGAGCATGGTGTACAACGTTTGTAAACCACTGATCGATTACACGTTCAAGGTCAGGTGATTCGGGGCAAAATATGTCTTGCATCAGGGTGTCAATTTCTTTCACTTTGGAAATTTGCACACCAGTATCAGTCAAATTACGCGCCGGCAGATGAACTCCAAAAAAGTCTTCATCAATGTCCAGGATGAGTGGATTCAGTTTACTGGGTTGAATGGACCACCGTTCTGAAGAACGAATAATTCCGGGCGCATCTTCCGAGTTCAGCTCCAGATGGTTATACGGCCATTTGAGTTCACATTGCTCCAAACTGATTTGACTTGTGTTTAGCGGAGATTTCCAATCACGCGCTTGGCATGAAGGAAGCTCGTCAAAAAAGCAAAGACAAATTTGACGTCGTCCGTGCTGCACGGTGACTCCCAGGCTTGCGGTAAAAGCACCTGTGTCATTCGCTACCCATGGTGGATAGATCACATAGGTTGTGTTGATAAGTTGGGCGATTACGGAGCTCTTTTGAGGACGAAAATAATAGACAAAGCATTAAGGTGAAATTATGTTATATGATGTCCATTGCGAAGTTGTTATGCAAAAAAATTGATTCCGTAAACTGGTGTTGTTGTCTTTCGATTACTTACAAACGAGTCCAGTAAAACGTAGCTGTACTCGTCAAGGTAGGCGGAATTTCGGCTGGTTGCACACAGGATAAATCGAATAGAATCAACAATGTAGTGATTGCATCATAGAATATAAGGCCATCAAGATATGAAATTTTAGAAAAAATGCAACGCATTATCACAAGGTTCATAAGAAATTTCTTAGATATTCCGATTGAATACTTTCACACCAATTACTGAATAACTACACAAGGTTGCACAAAACGAACGATTGCATTTAATAGGTCTATAAGGATATGATGTACCTGAGTAACTTTAACGACAAAGGTGTCCGCCAGATCAAACAGTAACCACATCGGAATCATCAGAAGCACCATAGCGCAGCAACGAAGGTGAATGCACAGCTTGAGTGATATAAACAACAATTTGATTAACAATCTTATTGCATCAGGGTGGGGGGGGAGAGGATGATAATAGTGGTCAAATACTACTGCACTGTGATTATAAAATAATTAAAAGCATTCCTCCGCTGTTCATTTAATGAACAATAAATTAAAACTTCAAAAATATACAAAATTCATCCGACTGAGCGTAGAAGATTACTCTCTAAAGAACTACTTGAAAGCTTGATCAAACAAAGATATGATTCTTCTGAGATCAGACAGATACTTGGGAATTGTCATTCTCGACCAGACTGACTATGTAAACAGAATGAAAGTGTTGTTACGAGACACGACTAAGTTTACTAAAACTGATGGGGAAAAAGTCAGAACGGTCGCGATCGAGAAAGGATTGTCTAAAACCGTTAGGAAACTGAACCAAGACAGGACGATAACCTCCAGCACTTTCGAAAGAATAAGATCAGTAGGCGCACACATACCAAGACTCTGCGGTCTACCAAAACTACACAAACAAGGATTACTAATGCGCCCAACACTTGACATGTACAGTTCACTTTACTATTGAATAGCGAAATGGTTAGCTGAAATCTTGGAGCCCGTCAAAGTGGAATTAGCGACTTACAGCCTGAGGGACACCTTTGAATTTGTGGACACTGTTGATTCACTTGACTTATCAGGAAAGCACATTTTTCTCTCTGGGCGTGGACTCTCCATTCGCCAATGGACCTCTCAGAGAGGCCATAAACTACCTATGCAATCAGACTGAGTGCAGATGGATGAATATTGTTTTTACCTATGGAGGAACTTCGCAATCTAATTTGCTTATACACGTATAATGTGTAATTCCAGTTCAATGGTGTAACGTACCACCAGAAGGACGGGAATGCGATGGGACCTCCTTAAGTTCCCTTTTGCTCGATGTGTTTATGACGAAATCGGAAACTAAAGTGTTGGATGACTACACAAAAGAATGTGCATTATATCGGTGCTATGTAGATGACATCTTCTGTGTGGTCGACTCCTCCTTAAGTTCAACTGTTCTGTTGAATCAATTTAACAAACCCCCTAAGAACATAGGGTTCACGCTAGAAATGGAATTTTCCGAAGGGTTGGCGTTCCTCGATGTTTTACTCTTGCGCTGTGAAACCGGTCTCTTAGACGTAGCATTCACGGAAAGCAGACTTGGACAGTACACAAAGTATCACAGTTTTGTACCTCTACAACAAAAGAACGCATTGATTTGATGCGTGGTGAACAGAACAGGGTGAATATGCTCGCGTGATGCATGCGAGGAAGAAATGAGAAAAATCAGAACGACTTTCATAGAAAATGGATATCCAGATAAGATCATTCAACAATGTAGAAGGATCACCACAAAAGTAAAACCTGAGATAATGGCTAAACCCATGTAATTGTCCAGTCTCTTCAAAGATGACACATTATCTGAAATGATAAGGAGGCGCCTCCAAGCTGCTGTCATATATCATGCCTCTGATGTACGCATCATTTACACTTCCAAACCAGTTCCTTCTTTGCAGATAAAAGAGAAGCCACGGTTGGAAATGACATCATTCTGCATTTACCAATTTGTGTGTTCCTGTGGAATCACTTATATTGTTTGTATCACCCGCCGCTTGACCGAACGAATTCGAGAACACCAACCCAGTTGGCTTACTCGCGGATTGACGAGAACCGGGAGACGGCGATCACGTCTCATTTCGTCGAAACCGAACATCGTGTCAGAATGAGTAAAACTGAAACGGGTTAAGCATCGCTTATTGTCAACAGTCGAAGCGTTCGCGATTCGGTTGAACAACCCCCTCCCTTGTGAGTTCAAAAACAGTCAGTCAGAGCTCTGCATTTACCGTGGTAGCCATAAACGCTAAAGTGACATAATGACAGTTATCAAATGAGTGTCAAATCGTTTATGTATCTGAATCATTCGAAAGTACAGATGACATTTGCAGAATCATTTAAACCATCATACATGCCTTAGTGTATTATCCTTAGTATCCACAGACACGCATACCAACACAGACGTTATTTACGTTTTTCTGTTTCCTTGAATTACGCAATTTTGTAACTTATAAAAGAGCGCTGTATTTAGCTAGTAAATGAGACACTGGAAACTTGCTTGTTTGCAAAATTGACTTCTGGATTCAAAACAATTTTCTCGATGTATAAGAGAAGTGAATTTGATGACAAATAACTCTGTTCAAGCAATTTGCCTGCATCATAAGCCACACAACTACCACCCTTTATTCCTTTTTTTCTTTGATGCATAAGAACAAAGTCGAAAGGCGAAGCAATTTCTTTTTGATATATCGTTTCAGTCATTGACATATATGGTTCGCTGGGAGTCTTCTTTTCAGAAAATTGAAACATTTGGACAGACAAGTCAGAAGACAAACACTGCGAGAGGGATTCCTTTGGTATAATCTCATCAGTCGCGTCCACCTCCAGTACCGACCGGTGCCTTGTCACTATTTCAGTTGACCTCTGGCATGTTGAAGTTCCCTACTAACAACACCCTTCTGGACGCGGCAAGGAATAAATGCAGCTGAGCAACCAATTTCTGATCTTCTGTTGCATTTGCCTGCGGAGCCCGGTAGACGCACATGACAGCTAATGCGTTTTTGTCCATTTTAACTACACAACTGATGGCTTGTGTGTTGGCAGTCGCTAGCGCTTCTGCTGCCTCCCACTGCGTGTGATTTGACTTTATCACTATCAGAACCCCTCCCCGTTGCCTTCCATCCATCCTATCTTGTCTATAAATTGTGTAGTCATCCATCCCCGGGGTGCTGTGGTGCTTCCGTATCCGTGATTCAGTTACGACCATTATTTCTATACCTGGAATGCGCCGTCATACCTCTCCCCACTTATCCCGTATGCTGCAAGCATTGGTGTGCCACAGTGTGACTGTGTCTGTTTGAGCATGCCTGCTGAATCGGGAACTCATTTTCGGAGGATCCTGGAGCTTAATGCCTGTTTTTTTTGGGGGGGGGAGTTACGGCAGAGGAGGCTTTTGGACTGACGATGAAAGCCATTCCACTTTTCTCCCTGGATATGACTTTCATCGTCAGTCCAAAAGCCTCCTCTACCCCCATAGTTATATCCTCGTTTGCCTTTGGAGTACTTAAGCTCCGTTGCAATCGGAGAGCTGGGGACTTTACAGCTATTGGGGATTTCTCTACCATTGTTGCCCACGTAACTGGTTCCTCGCAGCTCACCGTGACGTCCTTCTCTGCACCGTTAGCTGCAACTAATTCCTTAATTGCGGTGCGTATGACCTTTACACGGTTAATACTAACTA